ATATTTCTGTCCCACACCCGAGTGCACCTTTTCAGTGTGCTCACTAATTCTCCATCCATTGTAATACAGATTTCCAATAAAACCTAAAAAAAATTAGCCTTTGAATATCAACATTTTCTACTAATACAGCTATTTTTATGACAGGACATACTCTGTGATGCCATATGCACTTTTAACTCATTTCTGTATAGAATTTGACTTCTGAACCTATATATGAAATTGCAAAACCTCAAAGTCAAAAAGTAAAATTATTAAAATGGCAGCTCAGTTAGTAAAGAATGAAGTTTCAAACCAGTTAGGTCCTCTCCTTCAGTCTGTAGCCCCAATTACTCTGGTCTACCTCCAAACTCGTGTCTTTGTGTCGCATTACTTCGCCCACCAAAAGCAGCAGAGATGCTTCCTTCCCAGCCCAGCAGATGAAGAAACTACTCAGAGGAGACATTTTAAAGCTCCTTCTGAGCAGCTGCATGGCTCTGGATAACCAGTGACCCATGCACGTTCCAGAAACTTAAAACTGCAGTAATTGAAAGTCAACGAGCTCAGCTCAAGACCTTAAGGAGTAGGGAAATTTACTGCCTTAATGGGCTAGACATACTCATGTCTTTCAAGCAATAATTAATGTTTTGAGCCTGCACATTTTAATCAATCTTCTAACATACATATATACTTGCTTTTCATTCAAAAAAGGCTACTCTTATGAGACTGAATTACTTTCTGGCTATTAGCAACAGGTTTCTCTCATACTGGTTTATCATAGGAAAACATCAGTTCTTTAACATTGATATATTTCATTAACGCTGTAGTTTGAGTTTTGTTACTTCGGAGAATCTGCTTTTTCATACTACAAAGTGTCAGTTCCTCAATTTCTTCGTTTCAACTATTTTTTACTATCCTCTGATTGCCTGTAATTGCTTTCCACAGTCAGTAGCATCACAAGAAGCCTCACACTTTCATTATTCTCTGGACAAGTTAACAGACTATTCACTTTTTTCCTATAACATCATAACTTCCTTGGGAATATACTGGTATTGTAAACAAAAGCAGCAGGGAGAGAAGGATGTTTTGTTTTGTCTTCAACCAATTCGCTGCCGATTCAAAGCTTACATGGAGCAAGAGTTTAAAAAAAAAAAAAGAAAAAACCCACACCAACTTTGAGTAGTTCAGTGACTTAACAACTCAAGTTTCAAGATGGATTTTTAAGACTCAGGAATAGACTTAAAAAGTAAATGCCCGACTTTAAAAATTATTCAAGCTAGAGCATGACCTCCAGGTGGTGAACACACACCAACTTTGAGTAGTTCAGTGACAACAACTCGAGTTTCAAGATGGATTTTTAAGACTCAGAAATAGACTTAAAAAGTAAATGCCCGACTTTAAAAATGATTCAAGCTAGAGCATGACCTCCAGGTGGTGCTGACACCCTGTTATTCCATGAGGTTAAGGCATATGCCAGTTTAAGAAACTCTATTCTGGACCATTACCCTTTGGCAGTTACCTTCAAGCATGTGGACTGCAGATCTAGCAGTTACAATTTCTGTAAACTTCTTATTGTAACACACTGGGTTTAAATCTATAACCATAAAGAATAATTCAATTCCCTCTTTGGGAAAGGGGCAACAGCAAGTACGTAGCAAAAGAAAACATGCAAGACAGCACGTAGTAAGATAGAGCATCCAAATCATTTCAGTGACCACAGCTCAGGTCTCAACAGGCTGTGAAAGGCAACTGAGATTTTTATGAAAATAATTAGAGGATAAAAAAAGTTGAAAGCTAAACAGAGATGCATGCGATAAGATAGATGAACTAGAAATGGTATTCTCAGCTCCTTTAAATGAGTTTGAGTTGCAGCCAGTAATTGCATTTTATTCTGACGTTTATTACTAGGAAGAATAAACTGTATTGCTGTACACGGATTAGTATCTAACTTGGTACACCAAGGTTCTTACCGAAACATCAATTCCATACTGCCACAATCACGCTGCTTTTTGGAACTCAGTGACTTCACCATACATCTGAAAATGTCTAGTTTAAATGGAGACGGGCTACCAAAGGTACAATTCTATACACATTTCATACCAACTCTGGCCTGTGGTACAACTGGTTAAAATGGAAGCTTCAAGACACTCAGTGCAATGACAACTCTAGAAGTTGTATGTTATGGAGTAAAATGTTGGGGGCAATAGCATGCACATTTTGATACTAGTGTAACTGCAGATGCATACGTACTGGAATAATTCACAGTCAGAAGATGTCACGTCAAACTGGAATTTGGGTAGCTTTGTACGGCCTATATAAAATATCTTATTCAATTCCTGTTCTTCATCTGAAGCTTGCGTACTGTTGAGACAGATAGATTAAGTGTGCCGCTTCACAAAAGGGAAAAATGGACTTGAGAAGTGCAGTCACTCAAGTGTGATGATATCATACTGTCTACTGTACAGACAGTGGGGTGCCTCCAGATATCATATAGGTGCTGTTATTTCAGGAAAGCATCTCTTGAGAGAGAACTTCTCTTATGCAACAGTACAAAGCCAGAAAAGGGCATGTTACGCTTTGTTCTCCTGGGGTGGTTTTTTTTTCCCCCCTTTCAGATGGTCCCTGGGTGTTTCCAAACGGTTAACCTGACATGAACATGCATCATCTCTTCCTTTCTATTGATGCAAAACAAACTTGATCGATTTCCCTTGCATAACATGTACAAATTCCACAGAAGAATCTGAGAACAGTAAAAGGAAAACAGCTCATTCTGTTCAATTTCTTTCTTAGGCTATACAACCATATCAGATTTGAAGAATTAAAAAGAGGTTATAGCTGGATAAAAGATAATCTGACCTCTTATATGCTAAAAAGGAATATATTGTTCTGATGAAATATTTAACATGGTGCAAGGAAACTCAGTCAGATATTATTTTAAGTTACCCAAACTGATTTATTGACAATTTAAGTGTGACATATTTACAGCACTGTTTCTAAAATAATTTAACAATTTTCATAGATTTATAAAAGTACTGATAAATAGGAGACCCTGACAATTACCAACCACAAATATTTCCCTATGCTACTGAACTACAACAGCAGTTCTTTTCTTTTTTTCTGCCCGCCTCCCCCTTCCTCTTTATAAGTCCCTTAATGGAGCTGCTTTACGTCTACCCAATGTGTCAAATTGCCAATATGAAAATATAATAAAATGAACATGCAGTGTGAAAGCTGTACCAGAGCGAGTGATTTCAGGTGTTAGACTACAGTAAAAAATATTTCAATGCAAAGTGTCTTCCACACAGAATGTACTTGTGAAAAACGAAGCTTTTAAAGAGCTATTGTTTTATCCTTATAGAAGTTAAAACATACAATACTAGTACAGACATTTACAGCAACTTCCAATTCTGTGCTAGTTTTCACATATATCTAAAGAGTCAAACAAAACCAGTAATTTACAAACACCACTGCCTTAAGACAGTGGTTAGTTAGCTTATAGATAAAAAAATATGAAGGTGCTGATATAATAAACGGTTTTGAAGTTAGATTATAGTTCATTCTTATATGACACCAATTATTCAATCCTTGCATCAACAAATTATTGTGGTAAAGCCATCCATATCTCTCAAGCAGGAAGTCAGTTTGGAAGTTGGAGAGAAGATGGACTTGTATGATATGTGTCTTAGGTTCCAGTAGACAAAAAAACAAAGTATTGCAAAGCTGGACACAATCTGAATCACAATAAGCAGCAGCATGAGATATTTGTGGGGTTTTGATTAAAGCAAACATTTTTCAAAAATGATGAAAAGTACACCATCTAATCCAGTACTTGAAATGTAAAAGTTCTTCTCATTTGCATCACTGAAGCCCCATAACACAGGGTGCACAAAAAACAAATACTCTTTTTTTCTTTTAAAAACATATATTGCACAGCTAGTAGGTGCAATACCAGAACACTGGTACCCCTAGCATAAGTTTTCTATTTTAAATAGCTGTTTCAAACTATGCTATTCAAAGCAACGCCAAGCCAATGTTCAAAACCATTAAGAATGGTTTGTGTACTTAACTAATCCAAAAGTGTTTCAACAATGTGAGAAAAAAAACACAGGCACTTAAGATTATTAGTGCACCAAAAGTTATAGGCCACAATTACATGACTATGAACAGTTCAGTACCAATAATGACAAAACCAAACAAGGAGGTCTTCTGCTGATCAATATAAAAACAAGAACCGTTCACAAAGCACTGATAAGAAAACCATTCGCAAAACAGTAATCAAACAATACGTTTAGACATTTAAGAAAAATAACTGCTGCACAGCCTAATGTAACACAATATAAACCCTACTTAGTTCAAAAGATCTAAAGTGTCCGAATTCAAAAGTCCAATTTCTCTTCTCCCCCCTCCAAAACACCATTACACGCAGTCCATTAAAATCCAAATGTGCAAAAAGTTATAACCCACCTTTAGGCGTGCATCAAAAATAGGCTGACTATTCAAAATATTATTTTAGTGGAAATTTTACAGCACCATAATTAGAATTCCAAGGGAGTTCAGAATTCTTGTTCTGATAACGAATTAGTTGACACTGTTGATCCTAAAGAACAGAAGACACCTTTTGTGCATTTCCTGGTATCTGAAAGTCATGGAGAGAAACAATTTTCACTTATGCCTAAAATCTTACTGTAGTTCAAAATGAAATTAAATAATCACATTTGTTGGCAATAAATTCTCTACAATATAGCATTAGTTGTAAATTCAGTAAATTTGCCAGATTAGGAATGAAAAGTTTTTGGTACCTTGCTTACTTGCAGAAGTACTTTTTTGGCTTTGTCTTTTGGGTTTTTTTCTTCTAAATTGTGCAGTTTGGCCCCTCTCTAATAAGAGATTTACTATCAGGCTTTGAGAAAACGCATAAGGTCCATTTCTGACCCTCAGCTGAAAGGCAATGTACAAACACATCATATATACACATGTGTGTACAGAAACACACACATACATATATATAAAAATCAGTGTTCCGGTTTTTTTTGTTCTCATTTCCTATAATTTTCTTTGGTTAAAAGTCCAAGCAAGGAAATTAGAGGACCGAACAAATGGATCATTCTCCAAACACTTCCATCACTACACATCACTAACTGGAAGGCTTGCATCATCCAGATCCACAAGGCCAGGATCCTGTTCCTGAGTGTCATTTTTACTTTGGGGTTCTGAGAGGCCCCATTCAGTCACTTTGGAAGCTGATTCTCTTGGAGCGACAACCTGGATCTTGTAGCTCCCTGGCTTGGCCTTGGTAAAAGATTCGTGAAATCCTCGCTTCTCCAAGGCAGGGTATTTGGTGTGAGGGTTTGGGACCAGAGGGCTGCCGTGAGCGGCTGTGGAATGTGAGGTGGCTGGGGCTGGGATGGCAGAACGGAGAGCATGGTTGGGTTCGGAAGAAGACTCGGTATGCTCCTGGAAAAGAAGAGCATGTGTCAGATGAAGTCATTGACATCATGTTGGAAAGATGCAGTTTAAGATTTCACTCTCAGAGAAAAAAAAAAGAAAAAAAAAGACAGAAAATACACAAAGCGAAGCATCAGCCACAGCAGCAAGAAGCAGGTGCTTTCTCAAGGCGGTGCATTATTAAATGTGAGCTTACAGCAGTATGTGACAGCAACATCAGTTTCTTCATTTGAAGAAATTAAATTTCTCAAATCAAGCTCAGCAGCTCTTTAGGCTTTATAATACAGTCCAGCAAATTGAGGCTTCTCATTTTACTAAGATGTTAAGTAACCTTTTGAAGGTACACACTTTAAAGGCCATTGAAAGCGACATCATTCCAAAAGAAAAATGTATTCAAACATATCCGTATGCATCAGGCATTCATATCCTAAATTCATTTTACTGTTCCTTCTTCTCAGAGTACCAATGTCCCCAATTTTATTCCAGGGACCAAAGAAAAATAGTAACAATTTTATGTTATCAACAGTGTACAACAATTTCCGAAGTTACCTAAATTCTGAAGTAATGCACATTTTACTGTTCCTTCTTCTCGGAGTACCAATGTCCCCAATTTTATTCCAGGGACCAAAGAAAAATAGTAACAATTTTATGTTATCAACACTGTACAACAATTTCCGAAGTTAATGGATCTAAAAAAGAAACTGATCTTTAAGCTATTCCTTCTAATTGTCAAGTTATTTTCTTGTGTTTTTTATTGTTAACTGCCATTCTGTTCACCTTTACGTAACTCCACTAGATTGATACTGTGAAAATAATCTTCTTTACTTACTGATAGAAAGAAGTCCCCAGACTACCTAGGAATGATTTAGACATCTAAAGCATAGGCACAGAGTACCATTTTAGATGTCCTAAGATATCCTGCCTGACCTACAGCTGCTGTATCTTCAGAATAAAAAATTCCTCAGGTTCTGCATTGGATCTATCAGTTCTATAAGGATGCCTCAGATACCCAGGGATATCTAAAACAGCGCTGGATACAGCGGTAAATGATCCGATCAAAATGATGTGTGATGATGCAGTGAATACTTCACTCTGCACGCATTAGAAGCTGCAGCTGCTGCCACTTCTGCCATCACCAGTGTTAGTACATGACCTAAAGGAATCTGCCAACTCGTGTGTACACAAATCAAGTCACTTTTCAAGCACATTCGTTAGCAAAAAAACCATCACAGATGTGTCCAAGATGCAAATATACATCCTAAATGAAATACTTATTTTTTCACAGCAGTTTTCCAAGTTTCTTTTAGAATGCTATGTCATGAATTCATAAATTTAATCATAATGGATTCTGCCAAGTACTACTGTATTTCTTTTTATAAATTAACTAATATTATTGGTGAAGGAGCTGTGCAACTTTTTTTGGACTTCAGTTTTGTGTTCCATTTCAGTGAAATATTTCACATCATTTACATTGCCTTATTTCATACCTGACTTGATACTCCACTTTAATACATTTGCTTTAGAAGAACATATGATTCAGTGGTTTATCTACTATTTTTCTTATTATTAATAATTTTAATTCAGCAAATAGGACAAAAGTAAGGGATATTAGAGCAAGATCTCCATAATAAACTTTTTGCTAAATTGAACGGAAGGATACTTAGATTTTACTACCCACACTGACTGTAATTTCACAGTTAAGAGACTATGCTGCTGTATTACTCCTAAGGTGTACTACTTTGAACAGTGTGCCATTTACACATTAAAATGCTTCTACGTTTGAAATAATAATTTCATGCAGAGACTTAGAAGCCATGCAAATCAGGCTACAATATTATCCTTTCAATTACTAGAGTTACGATGTGCATTTTTTGTGTGCACGCATCTGTATTAGTTTGTGGGTAGCTTAAATTTAATCTTGCTTTTGCGCAGTTTCAAAAAAATGTAAAGTAAAATGGAAATATGAACTCTCATGCAAATTAGTTTTAATACTTTTCTATTCAAATGACATCACATAAGTTACGTTTAAATATATAGTATGCTTTGACATATAAATACATGTTTTTGCCATTTTTCATTTCCAATTATTTTAAAAGTAAGAAAAAAACAGTGCATGATATAATTTATGAGTTAGTTTTCAGTAATGGTAGTGACAACAGGTAGCATTATTTTTAGTTTTTTATAGCACAAATTAGTCTTTAGTCCTAGCCCTCTGTTAAGAAGGCAAGTTTACATGAGAGCCCACATACGTGCTGCATTCACCAGTTCTTGATGTATACCTCTGTATACAAGGATTCGACAGCCTTCTGGCCTGCCGCATCTGGAATACAGTGCAAAGCTAAGATTAGAGTAACCTATACTTGGGGAAAGAAGAGAAGAGAGGGGAAAAAGAAAGAAGTGATGCAGACAGTAATAGCTAGATTGCTCAGTTAAGCCCCACAAAAAAAAGCATACACAAAGTTATCTGCATATTTTCATTCCCCCCAAAAAGAAACAAAATTTACAACAGCAAGTTTTATTTAAAAGCATGAAGCAGCTCCCCACTGCAAAATATAATTGAGAGCTTAGACTGAGTTAACAGAAACACAGTATCAATGCAAATGTGTAGTCAAAAGCCAGATCTAAATTACTAGATTTCACATTATGGGGGTAATGATATATCCAGCTTATTACAAAACGTCCCATAGCCAGAAAGTGAACACCATAGCCTTCAACATCTGAACTGTAAAGTACTCCATTTGTTAAATCTGGACATAGTTAGAGATACTGTGACACTACAGTAACCTTCACTACTTTTTGCAAGTTACTGTACTTTGTACTGAACATCTAACACAGTTTAAATGCAAGTATGTATGAAATGTTAGCATCCACATGGCTTCACAAATACTAAGATTTGTCATAGCGCCTCAGTTCAGTAATGCTAGATGGTGTTCACGCTACATTTCCAACAGCAAAAAACTAATTCATGCGAGCAGAAATCTCTTAGAGAAGCTACTTTAAATTTGAATCTTTATCTGCATATACAATAAACTATAAACAATAGAGAATGCCAATCTAGTAGTGAGAGTTGTTAAAAACAAATCAGGATATTGTAATTTGATTGCAAAATTCAGCAATTAGTAGAAACACCTCGCAGGAATTAGAGACTTTCAATTTTACTTCCAAACTAGTAGTAGTGACAAAGATCATACCAAACTCAGAAGAATTTTTCTAGGTTAGCACTTGCATTATCTACGTGTTCAAGACAACACAACGCATATAAAGTTACATACAGGTAAGAGTAAAATCAGTGCTCCATTAAAAATGCAAAATATTTTATGCCAGTCTGTATGAAAGTTCATGCAAAGATGCCACGTTACTACCGGACAGGGTAGAGGACAGACAAAAGGAAAAAAAAAAACCACAACTAGAACTTTGTGTGCACAAGTAAACATCAACTAATCACATTTTCTCTGAGGTTCAGAGTAACATACGGAAGCTGCTGATCTTCCAGGTCCCCGCTGTGCTACAATGGCCCCAGAAATTGCTTTTATCCAACTGTGCATGTCTTCTGGACTGTCCGCCTGGATCAAACAATATGCATTATATTTAACATACTCAACTCTCAACTTTCCCAGTGTCCTGACCACCTGCATTAAAATGACAGCCTTACCCTACTTTAGTAGTCTGTTATTTAAAGCCATAGGGACTTCCATTTCTTAAGCCAGACATTTCTTAAAATCTTACCCTGAATTTACTATTATATGTATAAAGTTATATATATTAATAAGCAAGAAATAAGTACTTTCATACGATTTGCATAGTCTAGACTCAAATTCTTACTTTCAGCAAACAAAAAAATTAAAGTGTCAACAGAAATTTTTACAGGAGATCCGCTGACTCCTCTTAGCAGACTTTGGCCAGTGACATAACTTCTGTACTTTTCAGTCACTGCTACACTTCTATGAGGTATTTAGTGAAGAGTTACAGTCAAGTAAAAATCAGTTTCTGTCGAGGGTCAGCTGCACATTTACTTACAACAACAATCGAACCAAGATGCAACAGATTAACAGTGAATACCCAGGGTGTACGTATCTGGGATAAAGACAGATAAAAACCTAAAGCTATCTCCTAATTAGGTTGCAGCTTTATTAAACTCACACATCCACCCAGCAAAGACCTCTGCAACACATCACTTAATTATGTTCAGCTATAGGACAGCTCATAACTCAGTATCTGACACCACTGCCTGTATTAGACCGTGCAGGCCTTTCTGATCCTACAAGAGAAACTCAAAAATCATTTCCAGTTCTACATGCATCACATTCCCACACATCTAGGAAAAGCAAGTCTTCGATTTGTATTATATCCAAACATTTAGAAGGTGACACACAGTGGAAAAAAGTGCTTATGGATACATATTACCAAATAGGTACTGAACTCTAAATGTTGCTGTGCTTTAGTAGATATTTTAACATGGCAACTAGCTTGAATCTGAGAAGTCAATATAAAAATTCTGCACTTCAAAATAAAATATTTAATATATTGAGTTCATCCTACAGAATCTGAAGACCCAAATGCCAACAAAATCACATTAGGATTTAGTGCTTATTATTTTCATACACTACCAATACAACACTTGCTGTTATGTGGAACATTTCTTATATGCATCTTTCTGAAATATAATGAAGATCGCATTCCTTCTGAAAATCACGGCATAGTTAAATACAACTTTAAAAGCAAAACTGTATGGCTTCTTTGCTTTGATTATGGTAGTCTCTTGGTTTTGCCCAAAGTTTAAAAAAAGAAATTACCTGTACATAAAAGGTTCGAGAAGTTGTTACAATTTCAAAGAGATTGTCTCTCATCATTATGTCACTGTAAGTGAAACACAAAAATGCTTCAACAGCAAGTACAACTTTCCCACTTCATTTTAAAAAGACACTAGGATGTGTAGAGCATCAGAGCATTTGTTGTCTGAAGATCTTTGCATTTCTTTATCACCCTACTGTTGTTTTTTTGGTAAATACCAAGTAGAAAAAGAAAACCAGCATCTCTTACTCATTTTAGTTCTAAGACTCTTTAGTTTACCAGTGGCATGCATGCCACTATATATATTTTAATTGGAACATTCTAAACCATATCATGTTAAGTTTAAAAATACTTATTGTCTAGTCAGGTTTCTGTAAAATTTCACATTTATATTTTAAGTCTTTGCTAAGTATAAATCCTAAACAGTACGCTGCTAAAAAAATTCAATATCCATCATAACTACTACAAAGGCAATTCGTTCCTTAGTATATTGCCATTTGGTGAGAGGGAAATGGCAGGAGGAAGAGTGTTCTCATCTAAATTCAGACATTTAACATAAGGTAAGGTCCTCCAAAAGTTTAGAGATTATATAAGCAGAATAGAGACTCCTGAAATTGCAGCCTCAAATCAGACAGTACCTGTGCATCTCTAACTCATGATTGCATGGTATTCCTTTGTTCCACCCCTGTCCAATGCATTTACATTCTACTGAATGTTATGAGTTTGAAATACACACTAATACACAACCCTCAAAACCAGTTCTGTGCACAAAACTACCTACTGTCCTATAAATAAAGAGTTATGACACATGCATACATCAACTGAAGTTATTAAAGTTCTCCATGGCTTCCAATGAGCAGTCTAGCCATAACAAAACAGCATACTACATCCCCTGCATCAGTGCTTCTCTCCTTACCTTTGTTTGCATTCCTGAACTTTATGGACCTCCTTAAGTGGTATAACCCTGAGAGGTTCCTTTTCCTGAAAAAAAGGCAAAAATGTTTCAGCAGAGTATATATAACAACTAGAATATAGTTAGAAAGCCAGAGGTCAGGACAGTTGACAGCAGCAGACTTAAATAAATGAGACTTTCAAGGCAGTCACTTACGCAAAAGGTGGTGTCAACCAAAATTTTATTTGCTTTTCTAAGTATTAAACCAACTATGGCACTTGCAACGAAGAAGAGGCCAAATCAAGAAGTAAAAAACCCAGAAACATTAATTCACTTTACCATAATGGAGACAACCACCCCTTTCCCCTTCCCCTAACCAGATCAGAAAAATTGAATCTGGCCTCAAGCAGCATATTTCAGTAAAACTGTGATTACAGTCATATGCTATGAAATGCTACAGTACAAGATGCTTTGTTAACTGTACTGCATGACATGGCTTTAAATAAGGTTAGTTGTATCCTGTACTCAATACTAACACAAACAAATCAATCATACCCAAACCTGTAAAAGAGCAAGTACTACTTTTAAAGCATATGAAAATTCTGTTACCGTAACAAAAACAAGTGTTACAATTCTGTCAAAGTTTCACACAATAGGAAAAAAAGTGAGAACATTCAAACAGAAATACTTTCACTTCTGCCATGACAACGTAATGTCATACACACTATTATTTTCCTGTGGTCGCTACAGTAAAACACAAACAAACAACAAGTTATTTTACCTCCTAATGTGTTTTCTTTAATGTTGCAATTGACAACTTCAGTTGGCTTCAGCTTATAGACAAAACAAAAGCTGTCAGCTCTGGAATGACTTTCTCCATGATTTCTATTACATATACTTAAGAGATTTATGTTTTTATAGCAGACAGCGAATGTCACCCAAGTATAACCATCCTCAAATGTCAGTTTCCATTTAGATCCCTTGTCTCTATAGCAGATCAAATGTATTGAGCTTAGAACTCAATGTTTTCAGTTATTTTTCCAGTCTTCCGGCCTGCTCTTCCTAGGTTCGCTCATCCATTACAACAGAGTTTTCAAAGTAATACATCAAGTGTGAACTGCAAGATCATCCCTACGATACAGACACCTGTTGCAGGGAACACCTCAGCTCAGAACTTATAATTTTCTGAGTCTGATATTGCCTGTACTCCACTATGCTCCACCTGAAGACTGATATGGGCTCTTCCGCAAACTGAAAAGAGGAGATCATTAAGCGTGACCAGGGGGACACAGACAGGACACACAACACCAAACCACCACAACAAAAATATCTCCAGAATCCACACATTTTTCAATTAAAAAAAACAACAACATTTTTTTACATTTTTGAGAGCAGAGAACTCAGATATATTTCTACAGATGCAAAACAACAGCACCTCAAGATATCCAGTAAGAGTCATTTGAAGTACTGGTGAGCAGGCTGGCTGTCAAGATAAACTCACTTCAAGAAAGAGCCATACTTGACTGAAGATGGCAGCTATTGGGAACTGAAGTCCAACAGAAATAAGTTCTCCAGAACTAGATGTCTGATGCTGTAATAGCTGAATATGACCTCCATGCCATGGCCTTCTTAACCACAAAGGCACAACAAAAAATTGCTATTGAACTTTTCCCCTATCTTTGTATTACTCTCATTAGGAACAGGAGATTATTAGGGAAACTGAGATCCCACACATTGCTGAAAGGAAATAATTCACCACTTGAAATCTTCAGAAGAGAGCACTCGACCTTTTTTGCATTTGTAGGAGATAAATAAAAGCCTCATGGACATATGGTTAAGTTGTTGCAGGATCTTTTCTTCTTGGTGGGCTGTGCTCTGTGAAAGTTTTGCTCTTTCCAGTGCAGATTAAATTTCTCTCCAACGTGTATGTTTCAGACAAGGCAGATCATAATTGTTTAAAAAACTGTATGAAACATGGTTATTGTGATTAGGTTTTCTAACCATAGAATTCTTTGATTAACTGCTATAGTCTGATAAAAGGACACTGTATTCTCTACCTATTCAGTACTTACTTCCCTGAAAAGAAGAAGGATGACTCCCTTAAAATGGTAAACAACCTAATTCCAGTAAAAATTGTGAAGCAGGATCTACTTCCCTGTCATCTGACAGCTGGTCAGTCCAGTATCTTTCTCAAACTACAGCAAGGGGATATTAGCCTGAAGAATAGAGGACACTACAAGATTTTTATATTGTTCAAAATAGTTAAACTGGAAAGGGACATGATGAAACACTAAAGTGTATGCATTTCTACCATCTTTATAGTATACTCTCACACAGTACAATTCTTCACTGAATTTGCTTGTGAGCAATCTGCACTCAGGTTTGTTGTTTGGTTTTTTTTAATAAAAATAGAGGGCTTATTACAGGCAATAAGTCAGAATTGTGTTACACTGAAAGTTTAACAAAGATAATGATGTAAGATCAAACTCTTGCTACTGTTGTATACTCTCTCATTAACAGTAAAGCAAAAGTTCTCTTCAGAAACAGCCTGAAATGTGGGTTCCTGACATTTGACATCTTACAGTTGGCCTGTAAACTCAATTTTCCTTAATTTATAATACTCTACAACTCAGACTCCATTCCTTAGGTACAGATTCTCTCATGTTTAGTAAGTGTGGCATTCCTTTTTGGGGAAAACAGACTGTCTCCAGTACCAGCAACTTCATTTTTAAGTGAAGCCTGAAGACACGTAATTTTTGGTCAAAATCAGACAAAAGGTTCAAGAGTGATGAGCGGGGAAGAAGGATCGTGAACCTGAAGCAAACTCGGTAAGCACTGCTTCTGAAGAGCAGAATTCTTTGCTTGTCTTGGCCGCCCTAGCGAAACAAGTGTATGGGAAAAGATCCCATCACTTGTATGATAAAACACCCTATAGTTCTAACTTTAAATTAAGAATTGCAAGATTACAGTTTTGTCTCGCCACATAATGAGCAGCTATTTCAAGAACATAATTAATTATATATGAGTACAAAGTGACATAAGATACTAATAAAAAAATCAGGGTGATTGTAGAATATATCCTATTATTGTTCTTCAGTGCCCTACAGACAGGTCCCCCAAACAGAAGTCCAAGTTAACAGCGACCCTATTAATTTTTTGTTCTTCCCGATCATGAAAAGTTATTACAGTACAGAGTTAAGAGTTGCAGGAGCAGCACTGCACATTTTTCAGATACAAGGGTATTTCTTTAGATTTTCTTGCCTCTATCACTGGAAAATAACACACATTTGGAAGCTTACCAGTTCGGACTTGAAATATCCTATTGTGTTTTCATCTAACTGAAAGTATCTTCTCTTCCAGTTCTTCATCTGTTAAAGGAAAAGAAATACTTATATATTTTTATATATAAAATACAAATATTCTTACATGTTATATATTATTTATACATTCCTGTATGTAATTATATGTATAATTCTAGTTTATAATATATGTCGTTATTTAATTCATAACTATTCCTAATTATACATCTATAATAATTTTAATATATTACATATATTTATGTGTTTTGTGTGTGTGTATATATAGTGCCCCAAAATAATTCTGCAAGACTGCCAAATTAACATTTTTTTTTTTTTGAAAACTGCAAAATTCAAGATTCTAGAAGCTACTTTTTTCTACAATAAGAATTTTTCAACAATCTCAACTGAAACTGTAGCAACTCAGGAAAACAAATACCCCATAAGAAGTGTTAAAAGACAGTACGTTAAAGGTTTCTAGCTTATTTTTAAATACAAAAAAGGAATGTAAGAAAAAGAAGCTTCATAATCCAAGATAAAATGAGTCTGAGAACTCATGAAGCATGCATATCTTAATCTGAATTATCTGTTCCTTTTTTTAGGAAGGCATCATGTGAATAGTTCCACTTGTATTCATCAGTCTGGCAAGTTGTACAATTCTTCCTCTGAACTGAAAAAGTAGCTTTTTCTAAACATTTTAGTGATTTAAAAAGCATGCAGACCATTGAACTTCTGCCTTAATTTAGATGCTTCTGGTAAGCAAAATACGGATTTCTACATAACTGTAGAACAGAAGAATGCGCTAACCATAATGCAAAAGTCTCTGTGCACACACTTTTCCTCTCCAAAACATCTCCAACAACACAACGCTGAAGAAAGTCATGAAAAGAAGTAATACAGACACAAATTATATGCTACTGGCAGATAATTTTTATCTTTAGCCATCCTTAATCTTGTCAGTAGTGCTAAAGTTACTGGTAATAATGTCTTTTTTTTTTTAATCATCTACTTGATAAGTACAACTACCACCTTAGGACTTTTGTTCTTGGTTAATGAAACACACTGATCTCAAATACTTACCACTGCTCCTTGTTTTACACAGTAACCAGCTTTGATAATAGCATTATCTGGGGGATGCTTAGCAGTAAAATAAGGAAGGTGGCTTTGTGACCGTTTCAAATAGTTCCTATCACCCCCTTCACTGCATTCACTGATTTCTTCTTTCTAGAAAAAAGTAGGAAAGTTCAGAATACTCTCAGGTTTTTTCTAAAGGTCAAAGAATAACTATACTAGTTATAATGGGAAATAATTGTATCATCCCATGCTCACAAATCCCATTTCCAATTCGTTTGAAAGGATAAAGTATTTCAACTGATTTCTAGAAGCAACCAATAAGGCTCTTCAAGGGCTCTGGTTGAATGCTTGCAAGCTCCATTTAGAAACTAAACTAAGAAAGCGCTGAGTATTCTCAAACAATATTGACAAACACTCAGTGAAGAATGTTACAGACCTAAAACCAAGATATATGCATGTATTTAGTGCACACTTATAACATGACTTTAAGGGCAAAACACTAGAGGTGGCTGTAGCAAGGAAAAAGCTAATTCTAGGACCATAAGACACATTAGAATTCACCAACTGTTTAAATCCAGTTCAGGTGTATACATGTCATTTACATGATATTACTCCAATCTGTAACTATTTTCAGCTCAGGGAACTTCCAGAAACAGACACTGGTCTATATCCTTAACACTGCATAGATTTGTCTTCCATGAGCTTGTCCAATCTCTCAAACTCAGGGAAGTTTCTTGCATCCATATCATCTTTTGGCAAGGAGTACCCTATGTTTTATTACTCACTGAAAGAAGAATTCCTTTCCTTTGTTTCACTTGGTTACCCCATTAGCTTTGTTTAAAAGCCCATAGCTCTCATACTGGAAAAGACAGTTTACACCATTCACTCTTGCCAATGGTGATTCTGTGGGAGCTCTCACATCCCCCCCTAGTTATTTCTTTTGCTTACGGAAGAGTACTAGCCCACTCAATTGTTCCTTGTATGGAGCATTCCACATGGACCAGTCATCTTTGAAGTCTTTCTCTGAACCTTTCCAGTTCTAGTTTTTAAGATGAGAACAAAACTGGACACAGTAACCAAGGTCTGGTCAAAGACAGGATTGATACAGCAACAAAGATGTTTTCTGTTTTTCTCCTTATTATTTTTCTACGAAGTCCTAATATTTGCAGGGTTTTTCCTCCACTGTTACTGAACACTAACATGATGTTTTCATAGTGTGCCTGTAACCCTTACCTCTCACTCAAGTGGAAATGGTTATTTTACAATCTAGTATTTTCTATAAAAACTAGGATTGTTTTTCCCAGAATCCCTTACATTCCATTTATTTTCACTGAATTTCTCTTGCTACCTTATTTGCCCACACATGCCATTTCATAAGGCCCTTCTGCAACAGTTTAATCTGCTGTCCACCCTACTACCTCTAATAACGTAGTGTATGTACAATCAGCTGACTTAATCACCTCCTTTTTTGCTCACTTTTCCTGGCGGTTAAAAAGACAGAACTTTGGCATTGTTAACACCAACAATTCCTTTCACACACAAAAAGACGTTTCCAGCATACTAACTGATTATCTGTGAGAAAAAAAAAAAAAAACACAACACAACAAAACTCAGTAAGTCTTTATAGTCTTGTATAATTCTCTGTAATCTTGTATAAAGGGAATAAAATCCTCAACAAAAAAAAACAGTCAGTATCAATAAACGGGGCACATCAAAGTGTAAGTCTTCTGCGCAAGGTAAGAAGCTGACAGCTATATTGTTATACAGAACCTATTCTCACTTGTCAAACAACAAAGCTTCCTCTATCAAATAATAGCCCACTTGTTTTAAGGGTATTACCTGGGTAGGTGTAATGATAGGAACACCGCCAACAATTTCTGTCCTGTAAGAGACTTGCTTCTTTCCACCTGGGCTTTCAGCTTGACGATTTGCATTATCCACTTGACAGAGAGGATCAGACTGCTTTGGTACCTGAAAGTGGAATATGATAACCAAGATAAGTTTTATGAAGACCTAAAAAAGCCCTCATCATTAGTCAAGAATTTTTAATTTGTCTTCAGCAGCATTTAACAAATGTTCTCTAATTGTAGAAGGCTAGAAATAGCTTACATTAAAATTTGTTGCAGTGCCTATGCTTTAGTTCTCATAAGAAAACTGGTGCCAATAAAGACATTTCACCAGGTGTCTTGAAATCTAAAAATCAATTCCTAGCTTTGCCGTAAGTGTTATACTTGATCTTCAAGAAGCACTACTAATTTGTGGAAGAACTGGTTCTTTATTTTTCACTTGCTTTCAGTTTTAGTAATAAGTGCTTTAGATGGGAGCCGCCCCAGTGCCTGTAGAGCTAGCACAGTAAGGCCATAACACAGGGCTACAGTACTAATACTTTTGTCAAATAGGATGCCTGACTAGTATGACATTGGCACTCACGTTCCAATACTTGGCATGAAGACTGTGTGTACTGCCTCCATTAATCCTACATATATTGCTAAATTCTGTCCAAAATGACCCCACCTATCTAACTATCATTAACTGTTAGATAATTATCTCAAATGTGGAACTAAAGTAATCAAAACACCACAGGAATTTAATTTCCCCAATCAGTGTTTTGATCTAAAATGTTCACTCAAATTTCTGAGTTTGTGCAAGCAGTGAAAATCTGTAACCTAAGAAACGCACTAACTGGTTACCTAAGACATTTTCATTTATAATCTCCTTTCACCTCTAATATTAATATAATAAATTTGAAGTGACTTCAACAAGAAGAGATCAAGAGTCTCACACCAAAATACGTTAGCCAGCAACCTACTGGATATTTACATAGGACATCCAAATTACTTCAGAAAGAAGGGACACACAAATTGTCTTTACACAGTAAATTACCATCCAAGACCATGGCACATTCAAAACTTGAAACTAAACTGATCTAGACAAAAACAAAGCTACTTTATAGTCTGCTGTGATTCTAGTTCCTAGGCCCAGGACTGCTTATAAAAAAAAACCCCAAAACACACAAAAAACCGAAACAGCCTGTAAAAGAAGTACAAACAGTCCTGAGAGCACAAATGTCAGCTGTAGGACAGCTTCCTCCTGGCCAAGTGAAGGTGGCACTCAGCAGCTTGCTCAGTCTCTCATTTCCACCATCCCCTTAGCCCTACACAACACCCAGCTTTGCTAGCACAGGTAAAAGCTGACTCCATTCACAGCCAAGTCTGGCACTGAAGGATAAGCCATTCTCCTAGGCCATGCAGATCACAGGCCTCAGACTTTCAAGAGACAGAGTTTGTAGCTACAGCTTTATAGGCAAGTGCTTCAGCTGTCACAAACTCCTACTTAAAATGTTACAGACCAAACCCACAACCACCTTCTCATATCAACGCATTTTCAAACAGTACTCAGAGAGAAACACAATGGGTTAGATTACAAAGGCTTAGTTATTTTGAAATTATCAGCACCCAGAGTACTAAAAAGTGCAGTGGATCTTGGAGGATTACAATCTACAGAAAGTAATGCTCATATGAATATTAATAATTGAATTATCTTAATTATTTGATTAAATAACTGGCCTTACTAAATAACCTCTGAACAGATTAACAGTTCAAAGGCTTGTTCCTTCAAAGACAAAAAATACTAATGACTTCACCAGCCATTTAGAATGCAAGTTAAACATATGATAAACAGCTTTCAGACTAAATTCTAATTTGATGCAATTAATTCTTTATTCACTCTGTTTCTTGAACGGGAAACAACTCAAGACTGGTTGTGGCGTGCCCTCCTTATGAAAAACCCAAGTGAGAGGGCTTTGTGTTTCTGGTTTTTTTTTATTTATTATTAGTAGTAACACTTTTATAACTCAAAAGAAAGGGCTACATGAAAACAATGCAAACAACTCATGGAAACATCCTTGGATAACCTAAAAATGAGAAAGTTACTGAACAACAAATATGAATGTGCACACCCACGCTCAGGACCCCTTCTCTGTAAGTGTACGCTCTCAAAACAGTTCATGTCATCACTTCCCTGAAACTGGACAGAAAACAAAACCATAACTTCTGCCTCCTGAAAAGACTGAGGTAATATGTGGGTTTTCTATCATGCGATAACAAGCTGTTCTGGTACAAACCAGAGAAGTGATTTAACATTTATCAAAAGAATGCATTCATGTTTCTTTGAATGGATGTTGCTTGAAGTCAGGAGGGAGCCTTTGGATAATGGCATGATGTGTTTGCTCATTATTTTAGTGATACTTTAAGCAACACAAACTTTTGACACGAAGCAAATGTATGTGTATCTTTTTTAATTGCTTGCAAGTGTCTTCTAGATATTTCAATTAATGTTAAATGTGTATGGTTAATTTTAAATTATTAGAAACCATCATATGCTGTAATGAAAAAGATAATCACATTTTGTTCCCATTTCCAAAGCAAAAAGTAAAATAAACTCAAGTGTAGGGGGAGTTCTGTACAGTTTCTCCAAGCCTTGGAAAGCCAAGCCACGACTTGCTTGTAGAGATAAAAAGACTACTCTAGCATAAAAACCATAGGCAAATGTTACATTTAAGCACCTTGAGACAGTCACCATTTGAAAACATTGCTAAACATCAACTAAACCACTTACTGTGATTTTGGTAGCTTTGTTCAGAACATTTACCCATTCAACTAGGTCCTGCTGATCATTGGCTTGTAGAAAGTATTTTCTCATCCCTGCATTCATAACTGTTAAAAACCATTATGAAAAGTTAACAACACTGAAATTTAAGAGCAAACTTAACACCATCATAAAAAGATTTGATTTCAGATGGAAAATCCAGCTGAAGTATTTAAGCTCTCTGCTGCATTTCTTTTCAGAAAGTCATCTTAAGATACATACATCCAGTTGACAGGCTTGCTTTATTCTAAAAAAACTTTTTTTTTTTGTTTAAGCTTTCCACTTAAACAGTTTCATACACAATTTGTTAAATGATTTTTATTACATAGTAATAAAGCCTTGAATTTTATCAGAGTTTTCTACAGCTCCATTTCCCTTTTCTCAATTTCCCTAAGCAACAAAGTTTTACACTTGGGGACTTCCACAATTTCTCCTTTTAATGCTGACCAGTATCTGTTATCCTTTGCAACAAACTCATTAACATGACTATGATCACTGATTTTTTAAATTTGTGGAAAAATCAGTATCGATTACTAAGTATATGATCAAACAACTTTAAAACAGCCAGAGCATAAAACTTTAGTGACTTGGCAGAGAAAGCATATTTTTAGTAAGTTTATATATCTACCTGGCAACACCTAGCATACCTTTATCCAAAAAGGACATATTTCTGTGTAAGAGTAAAAAAAAAAATCATGGCTAGTTTTCTCACAAATTGAAAGAGCTTATCTTGACATTAGTTCTAAGGTGAACAGTGACTGAAACCTTCCCAGAACTTTGGAGCGTTGCAGCTAAAGTCTGAACAGATTCACCACTCTACCTATAACTTAACAGTTCTTCAGGTCACTGCTAACAGCAAACACATGGAGAAACACATACTTTTTACTCTTCTATCATCTTTCTCCCCAAAGTGGATGGTTTGAAGCAAACATTATTAGGTGCAAATATAAATTCAAAATATAGAACTGTATAATGAGTTGACTGAAACAACAACTCCTGGTATTTAAATAGAAAGACAATCAATGTAAATTTTTTTCTCTAAAAATATCAAAAATGCTTTAATAAATCAGAAATATTAAAAGCTTTCAGCCAGCATCTTGGATCATTAAGGCTTTTTAGAGCTGGCCCACTGACAAGAGCAACCTTACAACCGATGAAGACAAACACCTCTACACACGCATGTGCAGAGGAATCTGTAGATGGCACTGAATTGACATGCTAGGTGCTAGTCTAGAATCCTCAAAGCCTTACACATTGGTGATTTACCAAGTGTTTCATGAACTTCAACACAGAGACCACACAAGTCCGGTGGAGCTGCCTTCTCTGGGCCTGTACAACACTGCACATGGCAAAAAACACCTTAACTAATTGTCATAAAACCTTCAGGCATTTTCAGTACCTTCATCTGAGCTAAAACTCTTACGTGAATGCAGCCATAAAGAATAGTTATTCATAAACAGAGCAGAGGCTGATTCCAGTCTCTACATGTACTTTTGTGAATGACGATTGCTTGTCCAAAAAATCTGGAATTACGGTAAATTCAGGACAACTTACTTACAAGAAAAATCTAAAAAAAGACCATAAGGGGCTTTTATGATTATCTAAAGCTTTACTCAAGTTTAAACAAGTTTAAGTGTCAATAAACCCAGAAGGTACCCCAAAGCAAATTCCTTTTCTTTGGTGCAGCAACAGAGGCTGAAGTTTAACATAAGAGCATTCGCTGACAGTATTTTTAGATCAATTAAATCAACTCTTTTATCAGTAATACAGATTAAAATAATTAAATTACTTGTCTTCGTAGCTGACAGGCATGCCATGGTTCCGAAAATACCCATCATTTTTTATTAGCTTATTAATGCCTCAAAAATTTCAAACATCTGAAAAACAGCTCTCACCTACTCCTCAGTAAGCTGCAAGATGAAAAGCCTCAAAAACACCTTATGAAGAAGTCAACATTTCCCTCATACTAAAGAAGAAACCGTAAATACAAGCTATTTTTAAAAAAATACACCACCAGCTGTATCTGGTAACAGAATTGCAGAACATTACCTTTGTTTCAAATTTCTGAATAATGTACTTTATGCACATGCCTCATGCAAGAACTTACCAAAACAGAATTCTGCCTTTGGCCTTAGCTTAGTTGCATCGCTAACCTAGTAGGGAAATTAAAGTTATAAATATCACTGTGCATACAAAATATATATCAGATATCACAATTTTTTTTCTCTTTCAAGTGGCTAAATTTGAAGATTAGCAACATAGCAAGCTTGTTAGATATAAAGTTATACAGATATAACAAAAAATACTATATAAAATTCAGTTCAAGATTTGCAACCGATAGTAAGACGACAGCCTAAGCCATATGTACCTAGTCCTTAAGTTTAAGGATTCATTACCAGACAAATGCTGAAATCTGAAAATATAACACTTCTATTTGCATTTTGAAGTTCTATGTCTCAACTGAACCAAAAATTCAAGAACATTTCATACTGTCAAGGACATCAGTTGCATTTTGGTTCATTAATATAAAAAGAATAATGGCCACTTTTCTTCAGGAGTCTCTAAAATGTTGTAGCATTGGGGGAGGAGAAATGGGTGCCTTGTTTTGAGAGAGGAGTTGACATTTTTACATTACAGAGCACTTCTATCAAGGGTGGGGAAGAAGGCAAAGGAGTCTCTCACATCAACACCTTTTTTTATGGCCAGAAACAAAAGCCACATACTACGTAACTAGAAGTACGGAAAGTTAAACAGAGCGTCCGCACAGGAGGCACACCTGCACTGCCTGCAAAGGTGCACACAAGTGCAAAGGCACAGGTGAGCACTCCTGCTCCCATTAAAAGTGACATACAAGATTTCAAATTTCTTAAGATAACTGTGAGGTTTGGAGCAAAGTAAGCATAGAAGAAGGAACCCAGGAAGGACATAAGCAGGTCTCCACAGACATTTCTGTATTCATGATATAACCAGCATCAATGACATCTTTTAAAAGAATAACAAAAACAAAACAAGGAAGGTGGGAAGATGCAGTATGACAACAAGAAAAGCAAAGGAAGGATGAGAAACAAGCAGAAGGACAAGAGAAGGTCAATTATTTTTCTCCACTTATTTGTTAATGCAGTACCTGCTACAAATTTAACCACGAAGACTTTCTTAGTTCACAGTTTTCTTTCAGACAAATTTGGAAGTGAGTGTATTCAGACTGTAATGAACTAAATACTTTCTAGAAACTTTTCTGTTCTATCTATTAAAGATCATTATTACTTGCAAACTATCACACCCAAAGACTTATCTTCTACTTCATAAATGGTCTGTCTTTTGTCCAAGACTAACTGGAATTCAAATACTCATAAAGAACTGGAACATATAGTTCAGCAACATTAATTCTATGCATTGCAAAGAGCTGCCATTTGAAGTCACAAAACAAACCTAGACAAAATAAGAACAGACTAATTACTGTTTTAACCTGATACTATTGAAGCATTTGTAACACTTCTATAAAATTCAGGAGTAGCACACAAGCAAAAACCTTCCCATGCACTACGTAAGAGGCATTTAAAATTGCCTAAAGTTGAGGCCTTCAGAAGCCGCCCTTGGTAGATATCACCAAAAATTTAGCAACAAGTGTCTTGCATATTATCTTACCTTTGAAATATAGGTAAGTTTAATGACTCCAACAGGTGGAGATCCAGAGGGAAGATTCTGAAACAAATCATATGTTACAAAGTGAAACTAGTTTATTCTTATATCACAGTCAGTGTTTACACATAAAAAGCAAGTAATTCCACAAACAAAAAGAAAATCCTGTGTGTTTTTATAGACAATACACAATGTATGCTTGAAACAGGATCTAAACTACTTGTTTATTATACACACATCTGTTAATCAACTAAAAACAGAAGGACTGCTAGAAACAATACAAATAGTAATTGTTTCAGAGGGTTATGTATTTTACCAGAGGAAAAAGGATTCTTGCAGGTCTGCATCCAGGAAATCCGGAAAGAATACTTTTTCCTTAACAGATGTTGGCGTCTTACGTATTTTGACCAGGGCAGGCGGAAGGGACAAGAAGTGACATTCATCTATTATGTCAGATACTTCAAAGACCATGTCATGTATTTTCCAAAATGGATTGAAAAATCATAGTCTTAATTTAATACTAAAGTTACTGCAAGGAAAGACCATAATACTTCCTAAACTTGCAGATAAGCCTGAGTATATTTACAATCCAAAAAGGAGCTGTCCACTGCTTTTACATCCTTGCTTAACATACTAGTCTGAACATTTACATTACTATTCACAATCAGCTAGGAGAATCATAGAATCATTATGGTTGGAAGAGACCTCAAAGATCATCAAGTCCAACCATACACCTGACGCCACCATGTCTACTAAACCATGTCCTGAAGTACCACATCTGAACGTTTTTTGAACACCTCCAGGGATGATGACTCCACCACCTCCCTGGGGAGCCTGTTCCAATGCCTAACGACTCTAACAGTGAAGAAGTTCTTTCTAATGTCGAGCCTGAAATACAGTAGTAGCCTAGAAATACAACAGTTCAAGAACTGAGCCTCACAAAACATGGTTAACTTTATTATTAACCGTTTCCTTCAAAACAGTCTTCTTAATTTTGTTCCTTTAAATAGAACATTGTTTTCCATAAAATTTTGTCCATTACAATTTTTACTTTCAAAATGACTTTTTATGTTACAGTATCATTCTTCCCACTACAGGCCTCCCTGGAGACCATAAGCATGGTACTGCATCTGCTCACTGATCCTTTCCCCAGCTAAAGTGCTCTTCATTATTCCATAGTGCCCTATGAATCTCCACATCACGAAGAGGAGCTTAATGCTACCCACAGAGTCAGAAAGACAGACAAATAATGGGTTTATACTCCATATTTCAAAGGTAAGAAGTAGGTTAGGCTTACTATAGACTGAAGTGAGACTATCGGTAAGACTGAAATCTAAACTTAAAAACTTAAAACATTAAACTTAAAAACACTATTTCTTTGAACAGATGAACTGATTTTCACAGATACAAATAGAGCACTTCTATCAGCAACAAAGGGCCCAGCGAAGTTCTGCACACACCATAGACTCATCCCGTACGAAGAGTTTTATCACATCAAGGATTAGGAATGGTGTCCGCATAGTGGCTCTATAAAAACTCATGTTGTTCTTCAGAACTAAAGCAGTGGAAGAAAATCAAGAACCTTCAACTTGCCTCTTGCAAGGCACCTTTTCATTTGTACATGAAGGCTAACATTGAGGAAAAGAAAAGATAAGAAAGCCTAAACTAAAAATTCTAAGAGGTGTGCACTGCAAATATCCTTAGTCTTAAAACTTCCAAAGAATTGCACTTTCTACAGTATTTCAAGTTTTTACCCACATGTCTTGGTAATATTACAGGAGAAACTGGAAAAAAAGAATTGCTTCTTATCACTTATTGAGATCAAACATTTGAAGTCTCTCTTATTTCCAGAAATTCTTTCTCTTTTCTCCTCAGTAAGAACTGCTAAATGCTTCAGCCACAAATCACATTAGCTGCACATCATTTAAACTTTTTCTTGTTGGTTCCTTTGAACAGTAGACTTCTACTGCATTTTAACTCTGGTCTTCCCAGCAGAATGGTACATGAATTTTCTTCTAGCAGACAGTTGCCAGCTGACCTAGATCCTATGCTTTCACTGTCTCTGTACCTAAACATTAAGTAATTATCTGTTTTCTAGCATAGGGGAGAACAATGTACAGCGCGTACATTGTAAAAGTAGCTTTTATATAAAGGATGCACTCCATCATGGTGGATGCAAGTTTTCCTCATTCATATACCATTCATGCTGCACTGAAATTGCAAGCATCATTAGAAATTGCTTTTCAATGACTGATTCTGTTGAGGTAAAGTAATATCAAACAGCTAACTGATCCATGCAATGCAAGGAAAACTACATACTTCCACATGTGGTTAAAGGTAAATTAAAAGACTTGGTAGTGAAACTAGTACGTGATTTGGCTCATCTGGTTATATTATATAGCACTACCTAGCGCCTAGGAGAACCTGTGATGCACACTCAAGACACTTGACAGAAAATAAATATAGCACATCATGACTCAAAACTAATGACCAATTTATATGTGGGATCAAACTGAGATTCCCATCTGATCTCTAAATCTCCTGTCAATACTTAGATTCCATATGCTGGCAACTCGTTGACGTTGAAGTTGGTTTTAATGTTTTACTATAAATGCGATTGCTAATGTTTTAAATAGAAATATGAACTTTATTTTTTTCTTTAAAAAACTGCACATACTAGCAAAGGTGATTTACAATTATTTCACTTACATAACTAATTTTTTTCGCTAGCTCCCAGGTTCATAAGCTAATACTAAATCTCATTTTTCTTAAGTACATTTGTTAAAATTCTGAAAAAGTGGAAATTGACAGAAGCCTGGAAACTATTGCCAAGAACATCTCACCTGTGGGTTATCCATATACCACACCAGACTGTCTTCTCGTGTGTCCAGAATGAAGTACCGCCGCAGAAATTTTCCACTATTCTCATTTTCTTCAATATCTAGGAAACCACAAATGCGATTCTGACGATCCACATAAGGCATTTCTGACCCTGAACATCACACTGCAGAACAAAAAGCATAGAAGTTAAGCAAAGTTCCTCGTTACTAATTTTAAAATTGTTCAGTGCCTACCCATGACATTTCAAGCAGTTTCAACTAGTAGCTTAAAGAAGCTTCTACAGAAGAATAGGTGAAGCGTAGCTGTTTCCTCCCACTACCACCACTGACTTTTTAGACAGGTCCTTCTTACTTCTTTGAAGCATATACTTCGGATATCTAATACCCTATGTGCAAAGATACAAGTGCTAAGTAGTAGATGAGCATCAAGACTAGCTTTTACAAGATCATTAAAGAATAATCGCAGATTCTCCTTTACAACTTACACTAGATTTACACTTCCTTCTTTGATATTGCCTTCCATGGTCAAGAAAGGATCTTTGTCAGCAGCTCTACTGTCCAACGTGATTTTTTCATATTTTGCTTAGGCAAATTCAACGAAAAGGCTTTTAGAAACATTGCTCACATTTTTATGTTCTCTTACAAAAAGACTTTGTCTAATAATGCCTAAGAACAGACATCTTTTCATCCTTATATATTAAATAGTCAAAATGAAGTTGTATGTGCAGCAACAGAGAGATGAACACACTTGCTAGTCCAAAACTGAAATCCTCAATATCCACATGGATTTTTTTTATTTTGAGTTTGGTTGGGGGTATTTTGCCTTTTTTTGGTTTGCTTTAAAAAATAAATAAATAAATATCTGTACTGCTGACCACCTATTCCCATTTTTCCTGCTTCACCTTTTATGGCTCTGTCTTACTGCAGGCAACTGCATCTTTTCTTTTTTTTTTTTTGTTTCCTTTTATGTTACAGGACAGTCATTTTACCTTAAGAGCCAGCTTTGTAAGACCAAAGATAAATTTGCATACTCATCTAAAAATGGCAATAAGCCAACATTTAAGTATGATAAAAATCAGGTTGATGTCAATCTTTTCCAGAGCAGAAAAGAAACAATTCAGTCTTCTTTACATTTTGTCACAAAACTCAGAAATAGTACATATCCAACAATATTAATATTAACATGAGACATAGAAAGTTTAAGCGCTTCACGCTTATCATAACATCTTCCAGGTCTCACTGTGTAATGCAGAAGTTTCTTTTTAATCTTTCTTGAAATAGTTTACCTTGACTATTTCCTTAAAGTTATTTGATTTAAATAGTTATTACACACACAATGAGGCAGATACCTGATAAATATCTGTAGCTAGCTACTGATGTATCAGAGTAAAACATGATATACAGTTAATCACATTTCAAAGTGTTTATTTATATACAGATAAGCATAAATTTATTTTTGGGGATCAGATATACAAACATGTAGATATGCTTGTATTTACAACTGTTATTTTATATGACTAATTCAACCACTTTGAGAATTTTTTTTAATCTATTATCATGATTTTCGGTACCATACTAGAAGAATTTCTAGCAAACTGTTTTAAGTCATTTAACTCAATCTGTAAAATAACTAACCTTTTTGTGCCCAACACCAAACTAATCCTCTGGTGGGAACTCAAGTCTGATACATTAAGTCTGGTATCAGGGACCGGATCTAACAATCTCAATACAGTAGCATTTGCAAAAAGTTGAAGAGATTGCAAAATTATAGTGACGATAGGCTATTAAAAATGTTAGAGGTTTGGGGTTTTTTTAATACAAGCTATTAAATTCTAAAGTTAAATGCATTTTTGTGTATTACAAAGTTAACACACTTTTGTTTAAGATGCAAGACATTTTTTCCATACAGCTACAAGGACGTTAAATGTGTATAAGCCTTCCATTAAGCACTTGACTGTTTTTTCTTTCTACCTCCAAAAGGTAAAAGAGTCTCCGTATTTAAGGTATGCAACAATGGTTTAAATCTTCAAAGGCATAGGTTTGCTCTTCAATAAAGTAAAAAAATTTACTAAGGTAATCTAAATTTTATTGGCATGTTCCTCACAATTTAAATATCACAGATCTAAGACAAGTTCTGTAATCAAGTTATAAGTAACAGCAAAAACAAACACTTGAGCAGTCTTAAGACAATGTCATAACTGTAACAAGCATTCATCAGTAATTCACATGCTGGCTCTTGGGATCACTTTACACCGAAGCAACATCTCACTATAAACACATCTGTAGCTAGGGGCAAGCTTAAGGGTAGCTGTTCTCTAAATTATACCTCTAAGTTGGCAGAACTTGGCATCACACATTGTTTTCATTTAAATGAATGGCACTGTCCTAAGTTGTGCCAGGTGGTCCCTCAACAAAATAGACAGCACTTCCGGGACACCATTTCAGCTTAGTATCAACAGTTTCTGAAGCCCAGAAAAGCCTTGTGCCTAAAAAAAGCAAATATTGGTGGCTGGTTTCCTGTTTGAGCCGGCTTAAGCTGTGTTCTCTGCAGATGTGAAGAAAACGAAACAAGGAAAACTTGTTTTTGAGACAAGATACAAATTGATTAAGAATCCTTGAATAAAACCAACTGGATTTTCAAAGCACTTTTCTCCTATAGGAGAATCTATGTTTCAAAAAACCTTTTACAAAGAATGAAAGGAGAATACTCATAATGCTTCATTATAAGCATACAATTAGCTAAAGCTGAACTACTCCATACTGGAATTTTTTTTGCTAGGGCAAAAGGCAGAATTCAGAAGCTTTCTCTTATTTGTCAATAAACCAATTTTCACAGAAAAAAAAAATTCAGACAGATTTTCTATTTCAAAGTACTACTAGCTAATTTCTAGTCTACAAAATGATACTATTTACAGTTCCTATGTCCTCTGATGAAAAAACAGGGTAAACTACCATTAACTTAAAAACTTAAGTAGTATAACTGTTGTTTTCTTCTAATTAGTTTGAAATTCCTCATAGGATTACTGACATCTACCTGACTGACGCTCTTAAAGAGATAAAAAAAACCTCTAATTTTATTATAAAATTGAAATCTAACATAAAATCATGCAATTGTTTTCCAGTTTTAAAAGTCTGCTTCCACCATATTACACCTTGGCAAGATTCCACTGTAAATTAATACCAATTCTATTCAGCATTCATTAACCAACCACAATTTGTAGTGTACATAAAAATAAAAATCAATTTGTGCCTTTCTTCCAGTTACTAAAGCAACTGAACACACATGACAAAACCACCACTACAATACCCTTCCAGGTAACTCTAGACTGGCATTACTCTAGAATGGAATTACCACATTACTTCTAAAGATTCATAAAAGGAATTGCAGAACTCCAACATTAATTCCTCAGTGTAGGAAATCTGGCTGGAAAACCACCAGCCTAACAGTTCACCAGAACTCCAACTTCAAAGTGTCTTCAGAATACAGACTCCTGTCTTACATAGATAGGATTTATTTTTCATTAAATTGTTATTTCAGGCAATTGTAAAACAAAAATCTCCAAGTATGTGTGCATTTTTCAGCTCTTACTACATGCACACTTAGTTATTTTCTGCAGCAGAATCTGCAGCACAAAACAGCCTAATAACTCTTCTGCCCACTTTTAGAATCAAATATTATAAAAAGATTATGAGTTCTTAGAGAGAAAAGCTGAAGGCATCAAACCTGTGACAGAATACATACAACTTCATTTTCTTTTGCCTTCCCTCCCTGGGGTGGGGGGTGTCAGGGGAAAGAGGAGCCATGGGTCAATGACATAGCGCTACTTCAGAAAAAATATCCCTGTGGCCCATTCCTCTTGGTTCTTGCCATAACCCACCAGAAGCTAAAGCATTTTTGAAAACATATTTTGTGCTGTATATTGACACTCATATGTAAGAATTCAGAAAACCCTCAGCTCCTTAAAATTCCTTCTTGGAGGGTTGTATTATAATCCAAAGAGGAAGTCTCACTTATTTTTGTAGTCTTACATCCATCTTTCCAGCGGCAGAGTACTAATTTAAGTAGGTACATACCTCATCAGCCCAGCTTCTCTCTCAAACTTCCCTTCTCACCGCTGTTTTCCTCTGGGGTATCCCATTTACCAACATTCCTCAACATTTATATCACAAACTGAAGGTTGCCTGGCCTCCTGAGCACCACTATAAATAAAAATCACAGATCATCTTCTCCCAATCTATAACTGTAAATGCATGACTGCACAACTAGAACCTGCAGAGGCACACAACATCTCGTTTTCACCATTTATAACAGATTGCTTAAACTTTCCTACATTAATTTCTGCTTTTAGTTTCACACCAGCAGCTGTTCTTGAGTTCACCTCCTTTACAGTTTGGTTGCAGCCTCCATATCTTCAAGCACAAAGTCTATACAAGACTATTAAAGTGGCATGCAAGGTAACATTTCTATGTCCCGATCTCTCATTTGACAGCTAACACTTGATTTCCACAAGTAGGCATAAACCACAGACCACTGGCTTACTAGAAAAAGTGGAACTTCAGATGAATAAAAAGACCATGTAATAGGCTTTGTACTATCCACACGAAAGCTTAAGATATACAGCAAGATGAGCACTGCTCCTTAATGCCCTTAAGCTTTATTTTACATGTGCTTTCCCCAAGCTTGGTGTATAATTTTATTATTATTTCTTTAATTTATAATTACACTTCTACTTGCTGCTCTATTAGCGTATGGACATTTTGAACTTTGGATTTAACTTACCACAGGACATGACTTTGGGGTTCTTTTTCTATTAGCTAAGAAGATTAAGAAACATACATTACCTACTTACTCATCTCTATGAAGCAATGAACACAATCGATAAAACTACACTTGATAAATAGAAAATGATGCCATGAGTCATGCCCATCCCGGCTCCCCACCGCTCTTTTTAAGCTCTACTATTTACACTAGCTCCATCACCACAAAGGGAAGGTAAGCAGCATCCCCAGCAATCTTCAGCCTTTCCTGAAGTTCCAGGGACAGCTTAATTATTGAGTGTTCTTGGCTTTTGCCGAGGCAATTACTATCAGCTTCCTGCTGTAAATCAGCTACTATCCAGTTGGTCATCTCTTTTACTGGCCATTTACTCCATTTACTGACTCCCAAG